GGCTTATTTATAGTACACAATTTTCTAGTTCATTCTAGATTTTATTATATAACCACACATCTAGTTCAGATGGGTAAAGGTGGCAAAATAATAGTTACCACAGTTGTCATTTTCTAGGCTGTGTTTGATGCTATTGTTACTGCTGACTGTACTACTTTAGCCAAGGTGACATAATTGTGCTAATCAGTTGTTCTTCCTGGTATACCAAGACTCAGTTTGCCTAAGGGTCTTAAGAAATACTATAGGCCAAAGAACTGGGCACTGGGCCAAATAGGCAGAAACTTCTCATCCCTAATAAATTGAAGAGGAAGGATCTTGTAACAGACTCAAAAGCCAACTACACCTGGAAGACACCTCTGAGAGGAAGTTATTTCCTAAGGGTTCTGAATACTGGGAATAAAGCTACTTGCTATGAGCAATCTACAAGCATCAACCCAGGAATTAAACTAAAAAAAAAAAAAAGAGAAATTCAGCTCACCAAAGGCAAACCCAGGCAGGAATGAGGTGGAACAATATGAAAGCCATCCACCTGGACTCTCTGAAATGGTAACAGCACAAGTAACAAAGTAGGTGAACAAGGCTCTAGAAAAATTCAAAGCAGAAATAATTTCTCAGCTAACTACAGAGATGGTGACCAGAATGAAAGACATGCTTAGGGACTCTAAAGCAGATATAAAAAGCTACTATGATAAAAACAGCATGGACATGGTCAAAAAAAAAACCAAAACAGACCTGAGGATCAATGGAACAGATTAGAAGATGTAGAAACAACTCCAGACACACTCAGCCACCTTATCTTTGACAAAGGAGCCAAACACCTTCACTGGAAGAAAGATAATAAATGGTGCCAGAAAAACTGGCTTTCCACATGCCAAAGATTAAACCTAGAACAATATCTCTTGCCATGCACTAAACTAAAACCCAAGTGGATCAAAGATCTAAATATTAAAACTGAAACACTAAATCTGCTGGAAGACAGACTAGGTAAAACTCTTAAAGACATAGGAATATGCTAAGATTTTATGAAGAAAACCTTGATTGTACAGAAAATATTACAAAGAGTCAACAACTTTAATCATACCAAATTTAAAAAAAAAGCTTTTGCACAGCAAAACAACCAAAATAACCCAAAAAACAAAATTAAAAAACCCCCAACAGTGAATAGACAATCTACAGAATGGGAAAAAAATTTTAGCAGCTATTCCTCAAAGGACTAACATCTAGAATAAATAAAGAACTCAAAAAATTGGACCCCTCAGATTGAAAGACCCAATACAAAAATGGACATCTGGACAATACATACTTTTTTTTTTTTTTTTGGTATCAGGGATCAAACTTGGGTCCTTACGCTTGCAAGGCAGGCGGCAGAACCACTGAGCTAAATCCCCGGCCCAAAAATGAACATCTGAAATAAACTGACATTTCTTGGATGAAGAAGTACAAACAGCAAATAAATATAAAAAAATGCTCAACATCACTGATCACTGGAGAAATGCAAATTAAAACACTGAGACTCCATCTCACTCCAGAAAGAATGGCTGTCATAGAAAAAATCAACCAATAACAAATACTGGCAGGGATGCGGGGGAAAAAGGAACCCTTCTCCACTGCTGATAGGAGTGTAGACTGGTGCAAGCACTGTGGAAATCAGTGTGGAGATTCCTCATAACACTAAAACTAGAGGTTCCATTTGACCCTGCTATTCCCCTACTTGGTATCTTCCCAAAAGAATTAAAAGCATCATACCACAGTGATATATGCACACCTCTGTTTATAGCAGCCCAGATGCCCATCAACAGATGAATGGATAAAGAAAATGTGGTATTTATATATAATGGAGACTACTCTGCCATAAAGAAGGATAAACTTGAGTCATTTGTAGGAAAATGGATGCACCTCGAGACCAAATTCTTAAGTGAAATAAATCAGATGCACAATTGTAAATATCACATTCTTTTGTGTGAAAAAACCAAAGGGTAAATAAGGAGCATAATGGGGGATCGATATTGGGAAGCAGGAAGAACATGTTCAAATGGGAAGGGAAACAAGGGAGGGGGAGGGGGAAAGGAAAGAAGGGACAAGAAAAAAAGAGAAAATAGAAGGAAAAAAGGAAATAAAGCTTTTGTATATAAGGAGGGGAAGAGGGGTTGACAGGGCATATGGGAAAAAAGAAGCGAGATGTACAGGCATAAATTCCCTATGATGAATGTTATCATCATGTATATCTAAAATGTACCAATAAATGTTTTGCTTAAAAAAAAACACACAGAGAGAACTCCCACACATAAACAAGACAGGGAAAACAGCTGAAATTATAAATTGGAAAAAAAGAAAATACAAATGGGTAAGAAAACAAGCAAAAGATGTGGGGATTTCTGGTAGGCAATTCATAGCAGATAACACAAATGGCCAACAAACATTTGTAAAGATGCTCAAATTGACTAGCAATCAGGAAAAGTCAAAAGAAAAGCACGGCAGGGTGGTCTGGGCAATTTAGGAAGACCCTTTCTCAAAATAGAGAAAGGGCTGGAGACGTAGCTCAGTGAGAAGGCCCTATGTTTGATCCCCACTAGGAGGGGAAGAAAAAGGAAAATGGAGAAAATACAGAGCAGATCGAGGAGTGAAACGTCCTGCTGATGCCTCCAGTGTGAAGAGCACTTGCTGGGATGAGCTGGCGCTGCGTAGTGAAGGTGCTGTGAGGACCTCGCCGACCCAGCAGGTCCGCTCCGAGCACTGAAGTGTGAGCCCAAGGAAACATCAGAGTGCGCTCCGCAATACTTCCACACTACAGCAAACGGAAACGACCGAACTGCTGACACAGCAGAACAGGGAGGCAAACCAGAGCGCATTTATACGAGGGGATGTTAGAGCACTTGAAATGAAGAGCCTAGAGTAGTGCATGTGAACATGGGTGAACCTCAAAAATATAATAGTGAGTGGAGAAAGCAATGCAGAAAGCCTGGTAGAATAGATATGTACAGTGATAGTTAACTGACTGTGTCAACCTGAGTAAGAAATGCCCTACTAAATTGGATCAGCATAGTTCTGGGGGTGGCTGAGGGGATTTACTGGGTGTGAGTGACAGCAACCAATGGGCTAAAAACTGTATGAAAGGGAAATGAAGAAGGAGGGCTTGTTTCTGTTTCTTTGGAAGAGCTCTAGTCTTCACCTTCACATTGGACATCATCTCCAGGATTCCAGTGCAGACCCTTCGTCCTCCTGACCTGATACGGACTCATGTGAGACCCTACAATGAACTCCTACAGACCTCCACCTCCTTCTCCTTCTCCTTTTCTTTCTTTTTTTTTTTTTTTTTTGTGGTACCAGGGATCGAACTCAGGACCTTGCACTTGCCAGGCAGGCACGGTGCCACTGAGCTACATGCCCAGCCCCAGACAGCCCTTCTGCACTCTTCCACACCACACTGACTCTGTGGGCAGCCACTGTAAGCCAATTTGTAACTTCTTATATATCTGTATATCTTGCATTAAATCTGTTTCTCTAGTAGTACAGACTAATACAGATACTCTTATAAAAAGTGTGAAAGCAAGGGCCAGGGATTTAGCTCAGTGGTTCTGCCCCTGCCTCGCAAGTGCAAGGACCCGAGTTTCATCCCTGGTACCAAAAAAACAAAAAACAAAGAAATTTGAAAGCAATAAAAAAAACTACATATGTGCTGTTTATGGGTAACACACATGTAATAAGAATACAGAAATGTCTGATGTGATTGAGGTCCAATTTAGGACAGGGTCTTCTCAGGGAAGGAGGGAGGGAAAAGAATGGCAGAGGGTTGCATAGAGGTCAACAGGGAAAAGAAGGGAGAGCAAAAAAAGCTGAATGGTTGTTCCTATAATCTGAAGAAATTAGAATGCGATCTGTCAGCCATTGTGTTTCTGCTGTTTGAATGAACAGGGAAGATTAAAAAGACACAGACGAGAAAAGAAGGCAGCCTCCTGAACAGGCAGTTTTCAGTGTCTCCACCTGTGAAGAAGGAAGCAGGCCTTCGCCACACATGCTAACGACCACCTGCACAGGCCTGCATGTGACCACGGTGACCGTCTCCACGGGGCGCCTGTCCTGGGTTCTTGCACAGGCTGAGCATCCCCTGCCAAGCTGTTGTGGGGTGGCCTACAGTGGGGAACATCCTACGCTCATGGAGTGGACATCTTTTTTATTTTTCAATACTGGGGATTGAACTCAGGGCCTTTGCACTGAGCTACATCCCCAGCCCTTTTAGTTTTTCATTTTGACATGGGTCTAAGTGGCTAAACTGCCCAGGTTGGGCTTGAACTTGTGATCTTCCTGCCTCAGCCTCCCAGAGTGCTGGCATTACACATTTGCACCACCAGGCTTGGCTCTGACATCTTTTTTTTTCAGACAGGATCTTGCTATGCAATGCAGGCTGGCCTTGAACTCATTATGTAGCCAGGCTGGCCTCAAACTTGTGGCAATTCTCCTGCCTCAGCCTCCCGAGTGCTGCACCACCACATCTGATTTTCCTTTGCAGTGCTGGGGATGGAACCCAGGACCTTGCTTTGGGCACGCTAGGCAAGAGCTCTACCACTGAGTGACGCCCTAAGCCCCGGCCTGACGTCTTTTGAGGAAAGCAAACAAGCACACAATAAACCAACATGTGGCAAGTTGCGGGGAGTGCAAGCAGGGCTTCTGGGCCTATCCTTCTATGAACAGACACTTCTAAGCTGAGACCACCTGCTGGGGTTCACAGGCTGTCTGAGTAAGACGTTAGTGGGGCCCTGACTCTGGAACAAAGGCAGAAAATCTCAGACATGCGTCGGACTGCCTGGGACTCGGGTTTCCCAGAGTGCACTTCCTCCAAGGTCACAGCCTCACTAGAGGCTGCAAAGCCAGATGAGGCCAAGGACCCCGAGCTTCCCAGCGCTCCCACACAGCCAGTTCTGCAGGACAGTGGCTGTTCTGCTCTCTCTACCCTCTGTCCTAGGGGACACCAGGGAGGGGTGCTGAGCCTTACCCCGCCTTACCAGAGCATTCTCGGGCACCCCCACCACCACGTCATGCAGCATGGCTCCACTGCCGAAGTGCTGGGCGATGGACAGGCCACTCAGGCAGTAGCAGGTGTGGTAGAAGTCGCGTGACCTGAAGGACAGGCAGCTCTGAGTGGGTGGCCCCTGCTTCCCTCACACCCCAAAATGTGACTCCATGAATCCAGACCCTGTGCAGGGACTGCACATCCCACCTTGTCCTCTGCTCAGCCAGAGCAGGTGCGGCCTTGCCCAGCAGTGGGTCTTGAAGCCCATCCTCCACCCCCGGCCCACAGCAGGACTTCATTTGGCCTTTCCTTTGGTGGTGCTGAGGATCAAATCCAGAGCCTTGCACATGCAAGGCAAACACTGTACCACCGAGCAGTGCCCCAGCCATGGGAATTGTACCTTTAGAGTTGGTCTTTCCAGCTGTCTCTGGAAACAGCTCTCTGCTAATGCTAATTAACACACTTCTCTAGACAAAGACCAAAATGTCCAGTAGTGAGCCACATTCTTCCTGATAAATGGCTGGGCTGGTCTTCCCCTGATGCTGACAGCAGCTAGGAGAGTGTGTGTGTGTGTGTGTGTGTGTGTGTGTGTGTGTGTGTGTTACTAGGGACTGAACCCAGGGCCTTGTGCATGCTGGGCAAGTGCTCTACCACTGAGCTACACCCCCAGCTCCCACCTTGTTCTAATTAAATTAGTTTGGCCTAACAAAAAGCGGGGAGATAAAGAAAGACATCAGCTGAGCAATCCATTCTGCTGTCTGGGGAAGAGGAGAATGTGAGGCGGGGACAGGGTGGGCAGCTGGAGGAGCAGGACCACTGGGACTCGGAGGGGACACTCTTCACTGAGTTGCTCTTCCTGTGCAACACTAGCACTGAGCGGCCTCCAAGGTATCCAGCCCTCCCTGTCACCCTTCGCTCCCGAGAGCAGCACTCACTTGCCGGGCTTGTCCAGAAGGCCCCCCGCAGGGCACTGGCAGCACATGAGCAGGTACTCCTGCAGGGCCTTCTGGTGGAACATCCAGCGGCTCATGCCGAGGGCTGGGTCACCTGTGGAGGGCAGAGGTTCAGCCAAAGAGCAGCGATCCATTTGCATTTTACCACACGAAGGAGAGTCTGGCCCTGTCTCCTCCATCACTCGTCTTTGGTGCACTTCCAGTCCTCCCAACACGCCCCTAACCTGGGTGTGCAGCATGGGGCAGCTGTTCAAAGCGGAGGCTCCCTGCCTTGACATTCTCCAGCTGTCCAGCTCTTCCCTCACCTGCTGTGGCTGCTCCTGAGCTGTCCCTCATACTTCCCTCTGGGCACCCAAGGACGTTTCCTCTAGCAGCGCTTTGACTGGGCTCTGAAACTGTCCGCCAGACTACGCAGCTATGGAAACTCTTAGCACAGGCAATACATTCTGATCATGCTCCTGCTTTTCTAAGCCACAACTTACTCTATCTCCAAAGGAAATTCTCTATTTTTTTGTAGCAACCCCACCCCCACCCCCGTTCTCAGCAATTAAAATGATGAGCAAAAATTGTATCTATTCATTTATTTTGATTTTCAAGCCTTTTACTACTAAATAGGAAGAAATTTTTTCTGTAACTTCTGGTTACTAGTTGCATTTCCTTTTGAGAGTGTATGTACTCTGAAGAAGCAGAGTGGTGCGGCGGAAGCATGCTGGGCCCATAACCCAGAGAGTATATGTACTCTGTCCTGAAATCGAATGGCCAATTTTTATTAAACTAGCTTTTTATTATATTTACCCTTTGTCTATAACATAGGTTGTGCCTATTTCTTTTTTCTCTTTTGTTTATGCGAGCTGAAATACATACTATATATATATGGGGCATGGGTTTGGGGCAGGGTGTTGAAAATGTAAAATTTATTGTGATGATGGTTGTATAATTCTATGAACACATTAAAAACCACTGAACTATATACTTCAATGGGTGAGTTATATGGTATATGAATTATATCTCCACAAAGCTATTATTTTATTTATTTATTTATTTATTTATTTATTGGTACTGGGGATCAAACTCAGGACCTTGCACTTGCAAGGCAGGCAATGGAACCACTGAGCTAAATCCTCGGCTCTGCAAAGCTGTCATTTTAAAAAGCATATTTATTAAACTTTGGGATAATTGCATTAAAAATTCTATATAAAATACACCCATATTTGATACCCTATAACAAATAAAAAACTATCATTGTGAGGTAAATTAACCTATGTCAAAAATTGGAATCTGAAAGTAAAGTGCTATGTTTATTATTAAAAAGATTAGAGTGTTTCAGTTACTTCTTATATTATTGAAGTTTAAGAATTCAGAGTTCATAAACTCTATAAGGCACTTTTAGGAATACTGATTTTTGTTTTTGCTTTTGTTTTCTGATAGTACTGGGAACTGAACCCAGGGCCTTCACCATGACTACATCACAAGCCCTTCTTAAAGTTTTTTTTAAATTCTGAGACAGAGTCTTGGGAATATGCCAAGTTGTCCAGGCTAGGCCCGAACTTGTAATCCTCCTGGCTCAGTCTCCCAGAGTGCTGGGATTACAGGCCTGGAGCATCAGGCTCACCCAGGAATCTTGAATTTGAACACCAGCACACAAGAAAGGAGATATGAGGGCCGGGAATTTAGCTCAGTGGTGCCAGGCCTGCCTCACAAGCACAAGGTCCTGAGTTCGATCCCCGGTACCAAAAAAGAAAAAAAGAAAGGAGATATGATTACAGAGTGCTAACCATGGATGGAAATCAGCCTTTGCAATTCTTTATACCTCTTCTTTCTTGAATTACAGATCCCCACTATCAGGTCATTCTGCATTTCAAGGTTCTTCTTATCTAACAAATCAAAAGTCTTTGTAATCTATAACTTTCAGGACCAGCCCCACATAGCTCCACTCCACATACGGACAAGAAATGGCCTAGGTATGTCTAGTATCTGCCAGTCCACAGGCTGCTGCTTTGTGTTGGTCCATAGAAACAAAACAACACTGAGTCATCACTGGGCATCTGTCAGCTATTATAATAATCCATTCTCCTACTCAGATGTTGTTTCTGCCATGTGGAGATCATCCCTGGCAGGGAGTTCCTGATGGTCACCTGCTGAGTCAGGGAATGGCCAGGCTTGGGTTCTGTGCTGTGTCAAGCCCTTTTCTTTATTGTGAGCAATATAATCATTGCCCTTTTTTTTCAGTGGTGCTGGGGATCAAACCCAGGGCATGCACCCCACCACTGAGCCACATCCCCAGCCCAGTCACTACAATTTCAAGATGTATTTGCAGCTGGGGAAGCAGTGGTTGTGTCTGCACTTGGCATGTGTATGGCCCTGGGCTTAATCCTTCACACACACAGACACACACACACACACACACACACACAAAATATTGGTGGCACTAGGGATTGAACCCAGAGGTCCTCTACCACTGAGCTACATCCCCAGGTCTTTTTATTTTTCATTTAAAGACAAAGTCTCACTAAATTGCCCAGGTAGGACTTGAACTTGAGATCCCTCAGTCTCCCACCAGGCTGGGATTACAGGTAAGTGCCACTGTGCCTGGCTCCCAGGCCTTTTTTATTGTGAGACAGGGTCTAAGTCACTAAATTGCCCAAGCTGGGCTTCAACTTGGGGGATTCTCCTTCCCAAAGTGCCGGGATTACAGCTGTACACCACACCACCCAGCAATATTCTCTTGACTGTAGCTTCACAGTAAGTCTTTAAATCAGGTGGTTTATGCACCATCACCTAGCTATTATAGCTTTTTTCATTTTCATAAAAAATTTAGAATCAATTTATAGACTTGTACAAAAAAGCCTGCTGGAGTCAGGCAAGATGGTAGAGGTCTATATAGTAATCCTATACAGTAATCCTAGTACGTGGGGACTTTGAGGTAGGAGGAGCCCATGTTCAAGCTTCCTGGCCAGCTTAGTGACTTAGCAAGTCCCTGTCTCAAAATATAAAAAAGGTTTAGGGATATAGCTCAGTGTGAAGGTCCTGGGTTCAACTTCAGTAAAAAAAAAAAAAAAATCCTGCTAGAATTTGAATTGAGAGTGCCTTGAATACATAAAAATTGACTGTTAGGGTCTCTAAGAAATTAAGAAAAGCAAAACAAAAAGAAAAATTTTTTTGGTATTGGAAATTGAAATCAAGTGAGCCATATCCAAAGTCCTTTTCATTTTATTTTTATTTTAAGACAGGGTCTCAAAACAATGTAATTAACTAAGTTGCCTAGACTGGGCTTGAACTTGTAATTTTCCTGCCTCAGCCTCCCATTGTATTGGGATTACAGGTGTGTGCCACTATGCTTGGCCCCTCAACATTTTTAAAATAAAAATTTAAAAACTGTATTTGCTTACTAAAAACTGCAAGTACAATGCATATTTTTTATTTTTTAAATTTATTTATTTATATTTATTTATTTTTAATTTTTTATATATTTATTTATTAAAAAAATTTTTTTTTTTGGTACCGGGGATCAAACTTGGGTCCTTGCGCTTGCGGGGCAGGCAGCATAACCACTGAGCTAAATCCCCGGCCCATATTTTTAAATTTTTATATTTTTGCAGTACTGGGGATCGAACTCAGGACCTTGTGCTTGCCAGGCAGGCATGGCGCCACTGAGCTGCATCCCCGGCCCTGTATGTTTTTTTTTTTTGGTACCAGGGATCGAACTCGGGTCCTTGCACTTGCGCAGCAGGCAGCGAAAATACTGTCCAGGATCATTCTTTCTTTTTTCTTTTTTTTTTTCTTTTGGTACCGGGGATCAAAGTCCGGTCCTTGCGCTTGCAAGGCAGGCGGCAGAACCACTGAGCTAAATCCCCAGCCCCCCTGTATATTTTTCTAAAGCACAAAAAGGCATAGTCTACTAAGTAATATCCCTTCTTCTGTCTTCTACCCACCTCTCCAATGTATCTATTGTTAGAGGAAATTTTCTGGGTTTTGTTGTTTTTTCTTTCTTTTGTACTGGAGATTGATCCCAGGGCCTTTCCACTGAACTATACCCCCAGCCCTTTTTCACTTTGAGACAGAGTCTCACTAAGCTTCTAAGTTGTGCAGACCAGGCTCAAATTTGTGATCTTCCTGCTTCAGTCTCCAAGAGTGCTGGGATTACAGGCCTGCACCACCATGCCCAGCTCGCTAGAAGAGTTTTGCATATGCTTCCAGGAAAAGCTGATGTAGACCAGCCTGTGTGCACATGAGTGTTCAAGCCTGGCCTTTCACGCTTTACGTGGTATGTAGGAGCGCTTCCCACACCAGCCCCAGGCATGGAGTTACTGTTTACAGGTGCTGTTTGGAGAGATCATTATTTAGTTAGCCGTTAACCTTTTGATGGGCCTTCTAGGTTTGCTATTAGAACTCTAATTCAATACACATCTTTTGCTGAGATCTCTGCAGGTGAGTTCCTGACACGTACTTCCTGAGTTCAAAGAGTAAGTGCCCTTAAAATTCAGAGTCTCCAAACTGCCCTCCAAGAGCTGATGTGCCTCCGTACAGCCCAACATGCATACGAAAACACCTGTTTTCCCTCTCCTCAACACAGCATACACATCAAATTTTTAAGTCTGTGCCAATCAGGTAATAAGGAACAGTGTCCCACTTCTCTGTGCATTTCTCTAACTATAAATAAGTCGAACAATTTGAGGCAGGGCCCTGCGGCCAGCTGGTTTGGTGTCACACAGCCAACCTGCTAACTGCTGCTGGTAGTATCAGGGATGTAACGCCAGTCACCTCACCTCATTGACTTTGCTTTCATATCTGCAAAATGGGAATGTCAAAATATCTACTTCATAGGGCTGTTCTGAGGTTCGAATGAGAAAATGTGAGTGAAATACTCAATAAGGCCCTGGCAATATCATGAGTGCTTGGGAAGTCTCAGCTGCCACCAGTAGAGGAACAGCTGTGGAGGAAAAGTGGTAATGACAATGGCTTTTTCTCTAGGACCTGACTGTTCAGATCATTAAATCATTTTTCAGTTGAGTGTTCTTCCACTTATTGATCTGTATGACACTTTTCAAGTTAATTGGCCCTTCATCATTGGTCACTAATATATTTTCTATCTTGCTACTATTTTGTTTATAGAATTTTCCTTCTTTTGTAAAATAATCTTTGTTCTCCTTTACACTAGAAATACATATCAACTGTAGAAAAACAGAAATACAGTACAAAACAAAAAAAGATAAACATCCCCTGTAATTTCACATCTCAGAGTCTTTCTATTAATTTCTAAGTGCCAAATCTTCATTAAAAATGAGATTACGCATGTTCTTTGAATCCTACCTATGATGATAGTGTAGGGCGAATATGTTTCTACAATTCATCTCCTTCTGAATGCAAGGTCAGTATCTTGGCCATTGCTCAAAATACACCCCTTCCTCCCAGACTGCAGTCGGTTCCAAGCTGGAGAAACTTGCCCTTTCGGAAGAAGGGGAAGGGGAAGGGGAAGGAGAAGGGCTCCGGCCAACACAAGCCTTGACCCAGGCAACACAACAAGCTCCAAGGTTCCCAGGCAGCATTTTCCCCAGACAAAGATCTGAATGGGACCCAATGGGACTTCAAGACCTACACTATCGGCCAGTTCCCTGAGTAATGCCCCTGCTATGGCTCTCCAGATTTTCTGGGCATTGCATACTTAGAATATCTCATCCCTGCCAGGGACAGAACTGTAAAAGACTGAGGCTTTCGCAGGTGCCTGACCTCATCAGTTCCAAATGCAGAGATCACCAATACCCCCAGTCATTCCTGTTTTGGAAACACTGGCCTCCCAGGGGATTCCTGCCATCCCTGCTAGTTAGTGGTCAAGCTACAGACTGTGCAGACTCCAGAGTCAGGGGAATTATTTCCTTAATACCCTGGGACCTAAGTCCAGCGGCCCCAGGCCGGGAAGAGGAAGATGACAGAAAGTCTGTTTACTTGAGTTCAAAGTGGCTGCAATCCATTAACTCCAATGAAATTAAGAAACTAAAGAATGAGGCTCAGAAAGAATAAACAAGAAGGAAAGGGGGTGGGCAGAAGAAAAGAATCTCATCTTTTATACTTGAGCAATTAATTACTCAACCGAGTCCAAAGAAAAGCTTCCCTCTGGGCCAAGGGATCTCTGCGGGAACAGATTAGCACCCAGCAAGGCGGCCACGATGTCCCCTTTCCTGCTCGCCTGCTCAGAGAAAGTAAATGAGGACAAGGACTCAGGAAGCAGCAGGCAGCAAAGAAGGGAATGTTCCCAGAGTTTCTGCTCTGTTTTGGTTTTGCATCCCCCACAGAAAAAGAATGTGATTTCTCCAGTCCAGGGGTATGAGTAGAACAAACTTGCATTTAGGATGGTTCAGTGAACTTAAAATGAAACATTTCCAACGGTGACAGCTATCAGCCAGGCCTGGTGGGCATTTCCCCTGAGAGCTCTGGTTCTCTGCTTCTTTATGCAACCAACTCCCATCACTGCTGTGACCATGTGCACCATGTGGGTCTGCAGCTGTGATGTGACCAGACACAGCCCTGTGCTGGAAACTGTGGCTTCACCCCCAGCCGAGGTGGCCATCACTGTGGGCCCAGGACAGGAGCAGCTGCTCCTCTGCGTACCAGAGCAGCACTGGCCCCCTCAAGGACGTTTAAAAAGAGCCCATCCTGGCCCAGCCAGTTCCAGGAAGCAACGACTGACCCTAAGGTACAGGAACTAACCTATTCGGCACATGCGTGTCCCAACGCAGGAGGTTCCACACCCAGCACTCAGTATCCAGGATACAAGATCTCATTTCAACCCCTGGAACAAGCACCCTGCCTTCCCCACCCTGGCCAACGCAACCTGGCTCACCTTGAGCGTGCAGTGCGCGGTGGAGCAGCGTTAGGAGCCCCGCCTGCCAGAAGGAGTAGCAGCCATCCACCAGCTTGTTGCAGCGGCCCTGAAATCCACCTTCAAATCGCATCTGCCGGCTTGTTACCCAGTGCTGAGAATGAGATGGAGAGGGGCAGGTGTGAGTGGGAGACACACGGTCCGGCAGGCCAGGACCAGCAGGCTGGCGGGGGAGGAAGCTCCTCGGCACGTGGCTTCTTAGGCCTCGGCTTTAGGGCTCCGGCTTTCATCTTTTCCTCCCCTCCCTGCCACAACTGTTTAAACTGAGTTTTGAGGCAACCAGCACTGGTCTCTGCCCAGGGCCCAACAGACAACTGCCTTTGCCTCAGTTCCAAACTGGCGCCGAGGCAGAGAGAACAGAGACCACACTGGCCTGTAAAGGCCTAGGAAAGTCTCGTAGTAAACATGCGTAGGGAGTCTGAGGCAAGACCTGCAGCTCTGTTCTCATTACTTCTCTGCTCAGGGAAGTCCATTCAAAGCAGACCAATGGAATTTTGTGGTACATCTGATCTGATTATTTCAAACTGTTCTACTTTACTACTACATGAAGACATTCACCTTAGGTTTCTTTCTCTTTTTTTGGTGGTAACAGAGATCAATCCCAGGGTACGTACTACGACTAAGCTACATCCTCAGTCTTTTTTATTTATTTATTTTAATTTTGAAACAGGTTCTCACTAAATTGCTAAATTGCCAAGATTGACTTGAACTTGCAATCTTCCTGCCTCAGCCTCCCTTGGCACTAGGATTACAAGCATACGTGACCATACCCAGCAAGCAGGACTGGAGGCAGAAGCCATCCGTCCTGATTACCATGTGATGACTACCTGGCGTGGTCCCCACTTCAGAGGAACCTGGTTAGAAGATGGGGGAAACTCTTACTCTGAAGCTATAAACTGATACGTGATGTCACCCAGTAGTCACACGTGACACCATTCTTTGCTTACCTCCAAGTTTTCTACACACTCTACCCTTAAGATCAAGATAGCCATGGCTCCTAGGAATGGGCAGAACAAACTGTCTGAGCAGATGTCACATTCGGTTCCCTCCTGAGCCCAAAGGAGTCCAAGCCCCAGCCCTGGTGCGCGGAGCTGACTTACTGAACCAGAGGTACAGAGGAGGCTACTGTGCCTGCCATCTTCCTAGACTGCGCTCTGAAAGCAGACAGGAGTTACTCCAGAGAGGGGTCCAGCAGTCCCTTGACAGCTGTAGAATCTATGCTACTTCCTGGTCCTTAGCAACATTCACCCATAGAGAGTCACAATCCCAAAATCTGTTTTTCTTGAGATAGGGTCTTGCTATGTAGCCCAGGCTGGCCTCCAAATAGTGACCCCTCTGCCTCAGCCTCCCCACTGCTGGGATTAAACGCTTGTGCCACCAGGCCTGGTTCCAACAATCCCAAATTCTTAAAAGATGGAGAAAAAACCCCACAAATACTGTATTGCAGGTTCAGGTACCAACACACCCCCAGTCAGTCAAAATGAGCCAGTGCTTTGGGGACAATGCCAGTTAAGAGAAGCAGCCTAAACATCACTCAAGAGGACAGAAAACAGGCACAATAGAGGCAATTCATTCTTCCTCTTTATTTATCCCACAGGTTGTGGTTTTCTTTTATTAAGTTTATTGGTACACTTTAGGTATACAATATGATGACAGTTATCATTGGGAATTTGTACCTTTACATGAGGTATCTTGGTTCTTATTTTTTCCCCCTTCCCCTGCCCTCCCTTCAACCTCTCCATCCCTCCCTATTTACAAAGACTTTGTTTCCAATTTTTCCTTTTCTCATATTTTTTCCTTTCCCTTCCCTCCTTTCCCCTGCTCTTCCCACTTCCTCTTCCCCTTTAGACCTTTTCTTCTTTTTCATATTATCTGTTATACATTTTGATTCTTATTTCACTTTCAGTTTCTCACACCAGAGAAACTCTTTGGTATTTACACATGTGTGTCCTATTTATTTCACTTAATGTGCAGACTGGTGTAACTACTGTGGTGATCAATATGGAGATACTTCAAAAAACTAGGATTAGAGGTCCCATTTGACCCAGCTATTCCCCTGCTGCATATCTTCCCAAAAGAATTAAAAGAATCATACCACAGCGATATATGTGCACCCATGTTTATAGTGGCACAGTTTGTAATAGCTAAAGCTTGGAAGCAGCCCAAGTGCCCACCGACTGGAGACTGGATAAAGAAGACATGGTTTTTTAATAAAATGGAGTACTACTCAGACATAAAAAATGAGACACTAGAGTCATTTATAGCTAAATGGATGCACATTGAGGCCGTACTCTTAAGGTTAAGTGTTTTTAAGGCAGGACAAAATTATTTTATTCCCCAGAGCCTGAGCCCATGCATTAGTTCTGTTCCCCTTGGCTGTATGAATTCATCAAATCCTTCAGATACAGGAACTAGGTCTTCCAAAGAAAATGGAGGGAAGGGGGCAGTCTGGGTTAGAGAGGCACTAACATTCACGGAGTACCTACTATGTGTCGGGCTGTTTGTAAATATTCTCTCTTCTAACTTTCAGAGATTATAGGTTGTTATTCCTACCTATCAGAAGGAAAAAAAGTGAATCTAGATAGGCTGGCAGTTTGCTCAGAGTCACTTGGCCTATGCTCGCTTCGGCAGCACATACACAAGGTGATTTGGCTAGGAAGTAGCAGAGGCTGGGATCAAATCTAGAATATGGTCGTTATAACTTTGTGAACTGTCAATCACAAATTATACCCCCTACTTCTGCCTGGGACATGGACTTTTACGCTTCATCTTTGTTAATGATCAGGTTTTAAAATGTCTCATAAACTCAAAGTCCAGCATCACCCCTCCACGACTTCAAGAGGCTTCAAGGAGAGCATGGAGGCTTCCCAAGGATGAGGGTAGAACACCGCCAGTTCTGCCCCACAGACTGTCACAGAATCCTCTAGCAAGCTCCTGATGGGTCCACGCCAGAAGCCTGGCATCTGAACTTGAAGAGCTGGTTTGCTGTGAGGTCACAGTGGGAGCTCCTGCTCCCCAGAGACAAGAGGGGAGCCCTCGGTATGGCTGTGTTCTGTGCACCAGGTCTCCCCTGAGCACTGACCTACAACCTAGCGACTCCATGAAGCTGACCGCTTTCTGACCTCTCTGAATACTGGCTGGGAGCTTGGGTCCAGACATAAATGCTGGGCCGCCTCCTCGGAGCAGCCGCCCCACTCTGCCTGAAGAACTCACTTGAGTGCAGGTGCTGACTGTTCACACTGGCAGTGAAGCTTGCCTTCAAAGGGCCTCAGAGCTCTTCTCACAACTTTTTCTCTTAGGAGATTCTTCCCGTGACACAGAGAAACCTCAAGCCCTAACAGACTGAGCTATACATTTCTTAGAAGTGTGAGAAAGGCACTGTGGCTCATTCCAAATGTCTACAGGACTCAAAGAGGACTCTGGAGTTGGCCTAGCACAAAACTGGACGCAGGTAGAGAGAGAAGCGAAGAAGAGAGCGGAGACTGAGGGCAGCTGAGTATCACAGTACAGCCACCCCCTCCCTGTACCGTCTTAGCTCAGAGCCCCGGCACCACATCTAAAGCACATCCACACCTAAAGCGCATCCCAGGAGCCGAAGTTTGTGAGCTCAAGGATGGAATTTGGTTAGCCCTTCCATGGCCTAAACCCCTCAGATCAGAGTCCCTCCACCAGGACCCAAGCCCAAGGAGTAAATGGCTCAACAGACACTTACCAGTAAGCTCTTCAAGTTCAAGGAGCATTCTTTCTTGAGGATCACCAGTGCAGCCAGGCCACAGAAAGTGTAGCCGCCGTGCGCTTCCATCCCTGGCACCCCACCAATGCCGCCTTCCCAGTTCTGACACCTACAGAGGGGTTGAGAGAGGCCGACTGAGAGGCCCAGGGAGCGGTGCACATGAAGTGTCCCCACCATGCACATCCAGGGAAGAGAATGCGCTGCTAGATTGAGGAGGCATCATCGTCACCACCACGAAGGAAGGGTGCTGACATTAGCTTCTGGAGATGCCTTTTCCTAAAACACAAAATAGATCCAAAAATCCCCAGAAATTTAGAAGCAGTCTATTTGAATAAGAAATATAGCATCTCAAATTATTACTCTTTGGGAAAATGTTAAAAAAAACCGGTGTGCAGCATAACCACCAGGTTACAGTAAAGTTGAAAAATAAATGTTGATTCCGGTTATCTTTGAGTACAAGGTCTATTCGTGAAAATCCTTTTCATTTTTCTGTTTTCATCTAGCATTTTCCCCTGGTCCGGGGGAATCTAACTAGGGCCAATATGCTAGGTGAATGTTCTTCCACAGAGCCCCACGTCCACTCTATTTTCAGTTTCTAGAATGAACAGATAGACTTTTGTAACTATGCAGAAGTACATACATTTTTTATATGGGGTCTTGCCATGTTGCCCAGGGTGATCTTGGACTTGAAGGCTCAAGCAGTCTTCCACCTCAGCCTTCCAACAGGCATGTGCCACTGTACCCAGCTTATAACTGTTCAAAACTAAACATTATTTTTTAAAATGGTAATATTTTATATATTCAGATTATCCATTTATGATTATTATAATTACTATTTGGGGTTAGACTACCCATTAAGGGGATATTTTCTGGGCTGGGGATTTAGCTCAGTGGGTCTGTCTGCTGCCTGCCTCGCAAGCCCAAGGTCCTGAGTTGGATCCCCAGTACCGCAAAAAAAAAAAAAAAAAAGAAAAAAAAGAGTATATTTTCTAGTCATAAAAGCATGCACAGTGAAAAACTGGGCTGCGGATGTAGCTCAATGTTAAACCACTTGCCCAGCGTATGCAAGGCTCGGGGTTCCACCTCCAGCATGGCAAAGAACAAAAACAAAAACACACGCACAATCTTTGGCCTGGCAAGAAAGAGCCATTTCTAGGAATTAATCTTAAAAAATAACTAAGAATGTGTCAAAAAATCAGACTATAAGCATATTTGCTATATTCCCATTTACAGCAGCAAAATGTTAGACCAACTAAAAAGCTTAAGAGTAGGATTCTAGTTGTATAAATTATGAGAGACCTATGCAACAGCATACTACCAGTCATCTCAAATGATGCTACAGAAGTATATTTAAAGATGTTCTGCCTATTATAGGAGTGATATTATAAAATGACTATATACGGTACAATTTCATTTCAGAATTCTGGAAGAATATACACCAAAAGAGTGTATCTCTGGGTGATAAACTACAAGTTATTTAGATTTTCTTTTATTTGCTTGTGAAAGCAAATCTGTGAAATAAATTTGCTTTTTTTTGGCAGTGCTGGCTATTGAACCCAGGGCTTTGCACATGCTAGGCAAGGGCTGTACCACTAAGCCACGTCGCTGGCCTGAAATTTTCTTTTAAGTAGACTTTCATATGACACAGCAGAACTTTACTTCCAACAGCCTGTAAGTATTTAACTAAGTCACCCTCCCTACAGGCGTGTCAGTCTCACACTCCTGCGTGGTACAACTGCACAAGTGAACAGGCCTCCACCCAAAAGCTAGCAGAACCTCCAGGGAGGAGAGAAAGGAGGCAGAAATATTGCTCTGCCTTCCAGACTCCTCTCCCTGGAGTATCTTGGGCATCCACAGTCCTTCCACAGAGAGTGCGCAGGCTCAGGGAGATCAGAGCGCAGAAGCCACAGTTAGCTACGAGTCCTGGGCAGATTTCTTAGTTCCCTCTGTCCCCTGATCCCCACTAGCACCCTGACTCGCACGCCCTAAGTGCTCTTTCCGGTGGAAGAGAGCAAGTGAGTGAAGCATATGCAAGGAATCTCAAGATTTTTCTTTTATTTAACTAGTCTTTGTTTTAGCTGAAAAGGTAATACTCACTTAAAAGTTCTAGCTTTTAAAAGTACAAAAGAATAAACAATGAAAAGCAGGTCTCCTTCCACTCTTCTGTCAAGTTTCTGTGCCTCAGTCTTTCTATACACACACACAAACACACACGCGCGCGCAATACACCTATACATGCTCCACTTTCCCTTTGATTTTACACAGATGAGAGCATATAATACACACTCTTACATACCTTTTTCCATTTAGTAAAATTCTTTGGGCGTCTCTTCTAGCTAAAGAGAATTGGACTAAACATAAGAGCCCAGTAAAGTGAAAAGTAAAGAATTTAAAAAGTGACAGAGGCTCAGAGTAAAGGTAATAGAAAGGATGTGAAAACAGACAGGAAATAACAAACCCTGAAAACTCAGCAGGGGGTGTTAAGAGAAACTCACTGAGCAGAATAAAGAAACCTTCCTCAGCCCAATGCTAGGGGCAAGGCAGGGAGAGACAAGCATACATGAGGTGCCTCTGATGATCTGTAGAAGGCAGACTGTGTGTGAATCTAGTTGATTGGTCGCAAATTTATATAAGAACAGTTAGACCTGCAGGTCCCCTCCTCAAACCCCCAAAGATGAGGGTTTCAGGAGTCTAGTCAAGAGGATCTGAATCTTAGGATCTCCAGAGAGCAGGGGAGAGGTGTAGACTGAATGGGGAGACTGGGGTGAGGGTACTGCACAAGTGCAAACGCCCACATCCCTGTCCCTACTACTAATCACAGCGCAGGCTGCCACCTTCGTACCCCAAGCAGGAACCTGGGAGATCTCTCTCTAGAAAACTGATAAGCTCAAGAAAATGGGCCCAGAGTACAGATAGAAGGAATTTCCTGGATGAATGGCTGGGTTTTACCTCACCCTTGCCTACATGGCCCCCACTGGCTTTTTAGTACTGGACTCTTAAAATATGGACAGGAACTGCTAAACACCAGACATCTCAGGAAAGATGGGCCAAAGGGTCCAAATAAACAAAAATAAGAGGAAATAATGCAGGGTGCAGAGTTATATTAGATAAAATATTATATGAAGAATATTTGCACAGATAAAATATCCCTAAAACAGAAGAATGTAAAGGTTCAAGGTATTTTTTTTTTGGTACCGGGGATCCAACTCAGGACCTTATGGTTGCAAGGCAGGTGGCAGGACCACTGAGCTAAATCCTCAGCCCAGAAGAATATAAAAATAAGTATTCAGGGCATAAAACTGTGCTCTGGAAAATTAAAAATAGGATCACAGAAATAAAAACAGGATTAGAAAATAAATAGGGAAGCTCTCAGCAAGTATAAGAAAGAAGATTAACAAAATACAGGCCAAGTTTTAAAAAAGAAATCAGAAGATTAACACTAGTAGATGCTACAAACAAAAGCATACACAGAAAATTAAGAAAAAAATTATCAAAGAAATACTGTCCCAAAGTGTCTCTGCACTGAAGTGTATGGGCTTCCTGCTGAAGAGGCCTGCTGACTGGCCAGTACCGGAAGAGAAAAACAGTTGGTATTAAAGTTCATCATCATTAAGTTTCTAAACAACAGGAATAAAGATTGTCAAAGTCTCCTATGGGGCAGATGGAGTGAGGACAGAGACAAAGAGAGAGAAGCAAAACAAAACAAAAACACAGAGGAGTGGGCAACATGATGGCATTGGTGGGCAGCATGCACAGTGGTTATCGTCACAGGCAAATCCACTGGTGAGACCTGTGTCTGTGTGTGTGTGTGTGTCCCCAATCCCAGGGTCTTGCTGTGTAGCTGAAGCTGGCCTCAAACTCAATAACTCTGAATCCTCCTGCCTCAGCCTCCCTAATGCTGGGATTACAGGAGTGTGCCACCATACACAGCCCCACTTGATTTCTTTATATTCCAGCTTCATATAAAATTCAATATTCAACCATCTGACATATAAGGAAACTATGACATGACAAAGTTATATATCCCCCAAGGCACAAAGCTAATAACTGGCACACCTGGGACTCAGCCCTGGTGGCCAGGTTTCTGTGTCCACAGGGTGCCTGATGAATCAATCCTGCTGCAGACCATGGCTGCACACTCTGCACATAACAGGAAGTGGTTTCCTGAGGACCACTCGAACTGACTGAGAAACATACACTGAGCCCAGTGGGGATTTGAACTTGGAGTGGACAACAGCAGGGCGTCAGGCCCTCTCTCCCGACTCCATCTTTCCTTGCTCTACTTCGCCCTGAGAATGGTTACAGTAGCCCTGCCCAATGATGGTAACTGCAGGCTGGGTCACTGGTCAAGGGAGAGCAGCTAGAACTTTAATAGAAAGAAAGCCAACCACCCTCCTGTCAGGAAGAAAGAGGTTGCCAGAAAGTGAGGAAGAATCCAGAAAGAGGAGAAGGAAAAGCCCAAATTCTGCCTTTAAACTCAGTCCAAGTTTCTACCTGGCTCCTGAAATACATGTATGAGGAGCAAACCAAAACTGATCTGAGATCGGAGCCACTGGCTACTAAGGTGACAGGTGTGCAGCTGAGGCTGGCCTGCTGACAGCGCGTCCACACACAGGCATGGATATCTTCTGAAGCAATCACACTCTAGTGGAATCCAGTCTCTATGATATAATAGCCCCATGCCCAGGACACAGTGCAAACTACTCCACGGACGCACAAGCAGGGAAGTGTGACGAGCGGACTCCAAGATAACTGGACAAGGTTTTTTTGTTTTTTGGGTTTTTTTTGAGAGAGGGTCTCACTATGTAGTTCAGGCTGGTTTTGAACTCATTATGTAGCTCAGGCTGGCCTCGAACTTGCAGTGATCCTCCTGCCTCAGGCTCCCTGAGTGTTGGCATTACAGACGTGCACCACCATTCCCGGATGGACAGGGGTTTTAAAGAAGATCTAATTCTGTATTTGCCACAATGAAGGAAAAGATACTCATAATGAATAAAAAGATGGGAAATTGGGGCCGGGGATTTAGCTCAGTGATTCCACTGCCTGCCTCGCAAGCACAAGGACCCGAGTTCAATCCCTGGAACGAAAAAAAAAAAAAAAAAAAGATGGGAAATCTCAGTTGAGAAACAGAAAATACACTGAAAAACTAAACCCAAGGAGTACCTAGTCTCAATCTCCACACTACAGCTCACTGACTCCTGAGCCCTGCCAAGTCCTCAGGAAACACTGGTTATGTTGTTCTGCCTTATTAATTATGACACCAGAAGCCAGAAGGAAACAGAACAATGCTTACACAATTCAGAAGGAATACAGTTTATACCATTTCCAACTTGGAAATCTCTAACTAAATAAACTATCCAGCAGGTTCTGTGACAAGAATAAAGATATAGTCAAGATGTTAAAAATCTCTCTTCCAGGTGCTTTTTGTTAGGACCTGTCATAGTACAGTACACGCCTCATTAAAACAAGCAAGTCAACTAAACCAAACCAACCAAACATACCCCCAAACAAAGCACAAGGAAAGGAAGTGGATTTCTGGCTGAACGGAAGCTTCTGGATGCCCACTGAGCAGCAAGCTGAGAGCAATCTGTCCAGGCTAAAGCAGGGGCAGAGAGCTGCAAGAGGGATGACCCAGAACACACACACACACACACACACACATGCACACACGCACGCACGCACACACGCGCGCGTGGGCGCACATGCACACAGGGAAACAGAACACCAGAGGTGTCTGTGTGGAGACTAATTTTACAGTGCTGGCAGAGAATTTGGGAGTGAATTCATGAACTATACATTCATGCCATGGATAACTCCAGGAAAATGAAAGTTATACAAAAAATAAATATCATCATAGTATATCATTTGGTTTCAGTGTAAGTTATATAGGTTATATTTACATAGTAATAAGTACTATTTTGGTAAAGTATGCCTTTTGCTTTTCCTTCCTTCCTCCCCTCCCTTTCTCTCTCTCAGTCTACCACTGAGGTACACTCTCAGCCCTGTTCATTTTTTCCTTCTTTCCTTTTCTCCCTTTCTCTCTTCTTTCTTCTTGTTTCCTTTTCTTTCATGCTTTCCTGCCTTCCTCCTTTTCTTTTCTTCCTTTCTTTCTCTCTCTTCTTCCTTTCTCTCTCTCCCCACCTCCATTCCTTTCCTTCCTTTCTTTTTTTGAGGGAGGGGTAGGTTTGAGACAGGGTCTCACTATAGTCCAGGCTGGCCTTGAACTCACTATGAAGTTCAGGCTGGCTCTGAGCTCACTATGTAGCCCAGGCTGGTCTCAAACTCATGATCCTCCTGCCTTTGTTCCCTAGTGCTGGATTACAGGGGTACATCACCATACCTAGCCCTGTTTTCTTCTCCAGATTATTAAATATTTGAAGCATCCAGGAAAGTTAGCAAATAATATGGAGAACATATATGGATCTAACACCTAGCTTAGATTTAACCGTGATGTACACATTAGGCTTTTTTTTTTTTTTTTTTAAAGAAAAGAGCTCTGACAGATATGGTTGATGTGTGTGGCCCTCCCTGATCCCACCTCCTTTGCTCTCTCCCCATTAGTAGCCACTGCCTAAAAGTAGCCCCCATCCTGACCTCGGTATATCTCTTTCCTATAAATGTTTTTATATCCTTCGTATGAACAATATGGAATTGTTTTGCATGTTTTCAAATTTTAAATAAATGTGCTGATGCGGATGTGTTTTCTTTAACACTGTTTCCCCCCAAATACCATTTCTGAGGTTTATCCATATTGATACATGTAGCTCTAGCTCATTTGCTTCAAAACTACATTATATTCCAGTGGAACTCTACCATAACTTACCCACCACATGCTTATGAACACTGAACCTGTTTCCATCTTTTTGCTCTTATAAACAAGTCTTTCTCTCTCATCTCTTTCATGCATGTGTGTGAGTTTCTGTAGGAGTAGAACGACTGGGTCATAAGCAAGGGCACTTGGAGCTATTGCTAAATTGTTCTCCAAATTACTTAAATCAATTTAGACTCCCACCAATATAGTACTCTAGTAAGATTTTGGCCTTTGCCAATCTAAACTATAATACAACATTAATGAAAGTCTGAATTTTTAAAATGTATAGTTATGCAACCCTAATGTAATCTTATATCTCCATCTAGTCCTTTTAAATTTTTCTTTATTTTTGTGAAGTAAAATCTTGATCACCTGTTCTCTAGGAGGCCAAGGGAAATCCTGGCTTCTCTCACCTGGCTATCCATTCAGCAGTGCCCTCAAAGAGGTCTGGAGTGATGATGTTCGTCAGAGAGGCCACCGAGGTGGCACAGTATGCACTTCTGGAAAGATAGAAACAGACAGGAAGCGTTTTAGGTGTTAAGCAGGAGCCTAAGTAAGGCTCAGTGAACTTCTTGGGTGGATTACTTGCTTTGCCTACTAAGCTGTAATCACTTCCTGTGCTAACCCCTGGCACAAGGTCAGCCCTCCCAGGTCTCCAACTGAGAGGTGTGACATTCTGTTTGGATAGTTGCTCACAGAATGGCTTCAATGAAAGAACATGACATTCTCTTCTCCCTATCTCCACATGGTCACATCTGTATCAGAGGAAGTAAGAGCCATATCAATTCATGCTCCTTTCAAAGTTCCTTCCATTCTACGGTGTCATGCAATGACATGATACTCATCTATTTATTCAGCTGTCAGCACTGTTTTAGACCCACGATTGTTGTCTGGATGTGGCATGAGCATATTCAAAGTTAACTACACATTTTCTGCAACAGATATATTCCAAAGCAGCCCACCAAATCCTAATGGTTGCTTAGACCAAACAAGAGGGAAATTAGTAGGTGAGCCCCTTCTTTAACCTCCAGAGGGAGGAAAGAGCTCTGACTTGATGTCAAGCACCTCACCAGTACAGAGAGAGACACACATCTTTTGATGAGAGAGAAGAACACTTTTTTCCTTTTGCTGTTAGATATTGAACCCATGCTAAATATATGCTCCACTACTAAGCTACATCCCTAACTCCTATTTTTTTAAACATTATCATATTTATTTAAAATAATTCTTGCCATTCCATCCTTTCATCTAATTCTTCTCAGGACACATTTTATTTGAGCTCTGTCATGGGACATGCCCACAGACTGCCTTTTCTTTTGCACTACAGTCTTTTCAAATATCCAGCATGGGGAAGACAAAAATTATCTGTACTAATTCTGCTCACAAATCCTTCTTCTAAGATCTCCTAAGGAACATTAAATGGAGGAAAAAGATGGGTTGAATTTCTGTTTTACTCAGTAGAGACATAACAGGAAGCCTAACTTACTGGAGTATTCCAGAGAAATCGCTGCAGAAGCTGCCAGCATTAGTGTCCTGCCAGCATGTTTACCAGCCAGGCTCCTGCTGGCCCAGGGCAGGGGCGCAGGCACCAGGAGCAGGTGAGAGTCCCATGTGACAGTGCCAAATGTTGTCATTTACCACAAGCTAACTTCCAAGGTCGGTCTAATTTCCTTGGGCCTTGATCCTCTCAGAGGGGCTCAGAAGTATTTGTCTCAAATGCTAATGTAACCTCTGAGGCAGGGAAGTGGCCTGTGAAGGAGCTTGCTTCTCACTAATGTGACAATTGAGAAGCAAAGAGTCCCAAATCTCACAGGGAGATGGGAGGGGCCCGACTTTTCCAGGAGTTCCTTCCTCTCTCCCTGTACCCAGTTGTCACAGCTCTTTATCTACACTCCTCGCAGTCACCCAAATCCATCACTATCTTCCACCTGATCAATCACCTGTCTAGTCTCCCTCCTTCCAGTCCTAAAACCAGATGATTTTTACTAAAACACTACGCTCCATTCACAGCAAATGGAGAATATCTAATAAAATACAAATCATCTAATAAAATACAAATCTAATAAAATACAAATACAAATACAAATAATCTAATAAAATACAAATACAAATCCCTGCCCCCTGCCTCGCCCTGTGCCCACCGAAGGTCCCAGATCATAAAATTTAGATTATTGGTCAGGAATAAATCAAGGCTCTTTCCTTAACTGTGATTTGATGGTCTGCAGTACCTCGGAGCTGTGCACATTTGAATAAGCTTGTCTCAGAAATTATCCCAAGTTGTGATAGACCTGAAAGGTCATGTAGAGATCACCCCTGTTTAACCTGGAATGGGAGCAAGCTGGGTCTAGATGCTAATGTCCTGCCACTGACACTTTCCTGAAGGTCAGATCCACTGGCTGGTGCTTCCAGACAAAGGACAATTAAGGAAACAACAAGTGAAAAACAATGGAATTGGGGCCATATAAGCAAGATAAGGAACCTAGATGCCAACCACAAGCTCTATCCAATATATATATATATATATATATATACCCCTCCATCCATATCCCTAGCACTAGGGGTTGACCCAGGGCCTTTATACTGAGTTACATCCCCAGCCCTTTTAAAATTTTGAGACCAAGTTTACTAAATTGCTAAGTTGCGCAGGCTGGGCTCAAATTTGCAATCCTTCTGCCTCAGCCTCACAGACTACTGAGCTTACAGGCGTGCACCATAGCACTGGCTACCATTTATATCTGTCACCCACCATGTGAGTGAAAAGCACTGGCTCCATGGCAGGAGAGGTGAAGAGGAGTATGGCTCCTGTGCTCTTCAGTGGAACAAATCTATTTTCTTGGAGAAGTTGCCCAGCATTTGTCTATCAAAACTCAATCAGAGCATAGAAAAAGACTGGTGCTTGGACAAATGAGTTTTAGAGAATAATCATATCCAAAAGGATATACAATAAAATATCAAAGGGATCTTGCTATGGTTTGTTTGCTTTTGCTTAATATTAGTAAGTTTTTTAAAGTTAAGTTTCAAGACTGCATATTTAAGGTAGGAATGAAAATGTAGTGACTGTGGTGTCAAGTAAGCCTCTTTCTTAGGAAGAATGAGCACAACACTTTTAACTTAACAGTTATATTGGCTTCATTGGGATATGCAGATAACTAATCTTGTGTTGTTGTTGTTGTTTGAACACACAAATTACATACAGAGGAAAACATTTTAGTATAGGTCTTTGCAGCCTGGTTACCTACTTTTACCTGCAGCATGCTTTATGCTCAGCAACTTTCATGTTTTTTTTTTAAACATATGTGTCTACTTTCATGGTTTTTTTCTCTCCCTGTACTTTCAAACCAATGGTTAAATCAGATGCTGAAGCCAGAATATTAATCAACATGTGTAGAAGCAAATCCAGGCAGTAACAGGAACCTCACCAAAAATGTATGTCTCAGACTAATGACACAAAATGGTATAAAATGTCAGTGATCCATTGCCTTTGAGAAATGACTTGTTCAGTGAGTGGTCTGCATGATTTTTAAGTGCTTGCCTGCCAAGTGAGGAAGAGACTTGCTAGGTATTTCAGACACACTTTTCTTCCTTCTTTTTGCAGTACTAGGGACTGAACCAGGGCGTGTACATGCTATGTAAGTGCTCTATCAACTATACTTCACTTCCTGGAAGATGGCAGACTGATTTGGTGTCCAGGTGCTGGAATACAGCAATGTGAGGAAGAGAAAAAGGAGGGAAGTGGGTCCCTGGGACCCAGCATGGATCTGAAGTGACAACTGAAGCCTACAAGGAGAGCAAAGAGAGAGCCCTCAATGCAAAGGAGGTGGCAAGTGGCATTGTATCCTTGATCCCTGACTCACTGGATAGGAGGGTAGGCTCAAACCTGCAGATGCATGGTGACTACCGGTGTCCTCAGAAGCCTCCACAGAGAAATGCATCAGTGGAATGGAGCAGTGGATACAGCAGACTGCAGTGGCTGCTGAGTTATTCTGGTTCAGATGTCCTCCAGGAGAAGGCAATTGGCCAGTAACCATTTTGGAGAGAGGCCAACTGAGCTCAGAACTCAGAGCAGCTGCAGGCTGGCTCCATCTAGAGGCTCCCAGCGCCAGGGTGAGGCAGAACCAAGTTCAAGTTGGCAGGAAGTCAAGGAGCCAAGTTCAAGGTGGCAGGAGGTGCATGGAGTGTTGCAGGCTGAACAAATTGGGTTCTAGCCTCACAGCCAGAAACCAGCTTGAATTTCAGTGGAACTAAAGGTGCAGGATTCCTGGGATTATCTACTACCTGACTGCAAATCTACTGCTGACTTGCAGGAATTAATAAACACAGATCTGGGCTCTGTCTACCAATGACTGCAGAGACACGCACTGAAATGGACTTTTTTTTCTTTTCTTGGTTTTTCTTTTTTTTGGTTGATTTTTGTTTTTACATGAGTGTGAACATTGTTTCTAGTTTTCCTGTCATTGTTGTTCTGTATATCTGTTAGGTATATCATTTTACACTAAAATTTTATAATAAAAGCAATTTGTTTCTAATACTTTGAGATTTACATAAAAGAAATCAAGATATAGTGACACCTGAGGACATCTGTATCATATCTACAAAGATTACGACATGGTATCACTGATGTGTCATCTGCCTGTCACTCTGGGACAAAGCAGCAGCTCGGCTGCACTGTTCCTGGGCATGGCATCTCTGACAACAGAGCAGCTCTAGAAGTGTGATGCAGCTGCCTACTCACCTTGCATCCACCTCACCTCCAACATGCATGAGAAAAGAGCCGTCGGGCTGCTTCAGTGAGTACAGGTACTGGAGAAGCTTCTCTCTGTGAAACAGCGGGGAGAGGGCAGAAGGCAATGGTCAGTGCAGTGGGGTGGGTGGAGCCCTTTGGAGCCCCTGGCCCGGCCAGCTGTGGCTGTACCTGTTAATGATGTCATACGCCTCCTCCGTGCCGATGATGCACAGTGCGTTGACGGCTGCATATGTGGGTGCAAGGTGTGGCTGCTGACCAGGGCCCCCTCCAAAGCCACCGTCGGGACTTTGACACAGCTCCAGAAACTGACACACACTAGGTACGTGGCCGAAGGGAAAACAAGGTTGAGAGCATTAATTTCCAAACAATTCCCACCGAAGTCCACATCTTTCTAATTATCTCCCCTCCTTCAAAAGAAAAAAAAAAATCTGCCCCGAAAGCTCAACTCTTTACACAGTTATCATCAAGTTCGTACAGGCTCCTGAGTCTTGTATTTAAGCATTTGCGGTCAGGAATCACAGAACACAAGGCTGGGAAGAAACAGGCTGCCAGACTGAGACTCTCCTAGCCTTTTCACTTGGCTCAAAGCCCTGGATCTGGGGTACCAGTCTCCTTCCTTTGGGGACCACACAGCCTTTGGATTTTGCTTAGTACTTAGTGTTCAACTGCTTCTTTACACACTGGCCACCTGGCCTTGGCCCATTGCTGAGGTCTTCCCAGAACACAGAGATGCCTCTCGAGTTCACTGCTACGTGCGCGGCACCACTTCTTCCTGCCCTCATTCCTGTAAGAAGCTTCAGTTGAAGGGAAAGAGAGGAGGCTCACACAATGCTCAGGGACGGTGGCAATGCCATAGGGGCACAGGTGACGTGTGTCATAAGAGAACAGAAGTCTGTGGGGTCCTGGAGAGGATTTCAAGCCAATCCAAAAGGGCTCCTGTCCCCTCATGGAGGAAAACTGCTTACTAAGGGTTTGCTTCTGAGCACAGCATCGAGATTTACATTCCTGCTTTAGGTGACATCAAGAGAGCCCCTATTTGTCGGGCGTCCTCCGAAGTTCTCTGGAAAGTTCTCCAAAGTTCCAAGTCCCCACTTATCAAGTTGTTTACCCAGGACTCAACAGGTCACAGTCTTACAAGGAAAAAACTCCACATAAGAGACCACACAGCAAACCTGTTTCTTTCTAGTGCTCAGGTGATCTCCTACCCCTTTTTGAGACAAAGTTTCACTATGTAGCCCAGACTGGCCTCAAACTCGGGATTCTCCTGCCTCAGCCACCCAAGTGATGGGATTAGAGCCAGGCACCACCACATCGGGCTAGGGGCTTATTTTCTGAGCTCTTTCATCTCATTATTTCTTATGCATTGCTCCCAGGGAGTCCACATAGGCTAAGCTCCATGAAGACACAAGTTCTTTGTGGCTTTCCCACCTCATATTTGATCACTTCATTTCAGACCTTTTACCTTTGGGTCAGGGACAGCAACAGAAAATGCTCCCACCTGGCTATTTCAGTTTTGAAATCTCACAAATTAAAACAATATCCATTCACCTCTATTTACACCCAAAATTTAATTGTAGGAAACACAAGGATTGAAACTGAGGCTGACAGAGAAGCAAGACAACTCTTGTCATATTTTTTTAATAGAAATTGTTCCTAACATATTTTCTAAATTATCATACCATTTCCCAGAAACAAAGAGCTAACAAACTCAAATCCCAACAAGATTGGCTGCAATAGCCTACTCAGTTTTCTATACCACAAATGCAAAAGGTTGAGCTGATATAAACAGTAGCTCAGTGGTAGAGGATTTCCCCAGTGTGAATGTGATGTGGGTTTGATCCATAGCAAAATAAAAGAATAAAAACTCAGCAATTACTTAAATGAAGAAAGAAAAAAAAAAGAGTCACCTAAGCAATTCATTCCCTTCTCCAGCACCTAAGATAGAATTGTGCTGAATGACCCAGTGGCCTGAAGTTTGGCAGGAGTGAGGATCTGAATGTACCAGACACTCCGATATCGCCCCTCCATGCCAAGTGTCCTCAGCTGACATACTGCGTCTGACTGCCCGACTGTGCTAAGAGCTGGAGGTGGGGCTCCTGAGTCTCACTTCCCCGTGCAGAACATTCTGATCCCCTGGCTTTCCAGCTTGCACCTTAAGGAACTGGCAAAGTGACCACAAGGCCACCAGCTGTGGCCTTAGCAGTTCTGAAAACCAAGATGTTAATGGTACTTCAGTCTATCAAAAAGGAGAGAAAAACTTAGAGATCAAAAATTCACCAACTAATAAAAAAAATTACAAGCAAGAAACGCTGTGTAAACAACAAAGTGGCCTGTTTTTTGACTCCTTTACATATACTATAGACACTTAGATGAGCCTGTGGATCAACTTTCTTTTGATGTCAGCAAGGCTTTTCCAATTCTAGCCTCCACAACAACCACCAACAAAGTGAAAAACTTATCTTTGGGGAGGATTTTCAAACCCAAAATGTGTGTTGTCAGAATCACTGGGGAGCTAATAAGGATTACACAGCCCATGGCCTCCTGAAGCCAGCAAAAGCCCAGACCTCACTTGGGTGTTTAAAAAAATTCAACTGGGTGTGGTGGTGCATGCCTGTTATTCTAGCACTCTAGGAAGCTGAGGCAGGAACATTGCAAGTTCAAGCCCAGCCTGGGAAGTTTAGTAACTCAGTGAGACTCTGTCTCAAAAGTAAAAAATAAAAAGGGCTGGGGAGTTAGCTCAGTGCAAAGGCCCTGGGTTCAATCCCCAGTAGCCAAACACACAAAACCAAAACAAAAAAATCCAATGCCATGGCCACACCTAATATGGATTAAATCAGAATCACTGAGGATGCACCCAGGTGGCAGTATTTTTTAAAAGCTCCCTCTGTGACTCTAATGTTCACCCAAGTACTGTAGCAGTGACTCTCAAACTTGACTGTGCACAGAATCACCAGAGAATCTTGTGACACCGTAGTCTAATTCTAAATTGCATGGGCCTGAGAGTCTGAATTTCTAACAGCCTCCTTCAGAACACCCATGCCCCTAGCCACAAGAGGCTGTTTAACATTTAATTTAAACTTAGTAAAATTCAAAATTCAAAAAATAAAACCTCATCATCTCAACCACACATGAACCATATTTCAAGCACTCAACAATCAAATTCGGCAGTAGCTATCAAATAGGACCGCAGAAGTCCTGCCAAGAACACTCCCATTACAGTGGAAAGTTCTAGTCACCACTGCTCTATCATTCAGACATTAAAGATTATGCAAGAGGATCAAGTTCAAAGCAAGAATGTCAGTGATTTACTATCAGCCTTATAAGAGGTTTACTTGACTTTCAGGTAATGGTTGAGGATTATTCTAAAGTGGTTGGTTCTGAACAAGATTGTCACCAATGAGGATGAAGGATTCAAAAGTATATGCAATCTTGGTGTGGTGGTGCACACTGTAATCCCAGCACTCTGGGAGGCTGAGGCAGGAAGACTGCAAATTTGAGCCCAGCTGGAGCAACTTGTGAGCCCCTGTCTCAAAATAAAAAATTTAAAAAGGTCTGGGGATATTGTTCATTGTGAAGGTCCTGGGTTCAATCTCCCATACTGCAAAAAAAAAGGTATGCACAGAAACTAAGTAATACAAAACAGAGAAACAAATCAGAGTCCAGAATAAAACAAATGAAACAGATAAAGTACTAAGTAATACATTTAAGAAGGCAGGGATGGGGAATGGGTAAAGCATGTAAATACAAGATGGGAAATGACTAGGAACACAGCAGGAAAAGGACCAGAAATTAAAGTCCCTGAGGAGTGAATAATCAGTAACAAAAACATGTGTGTTTTTGTTTGTTTGTAAGTACTAGGGATCAAACTCAGGTCTTGGAGACAAGTACCTTGCCAAGGAACTACATACTTAGCCCATTTCATCTCATCTCATCTCACTTCATTTCATTTTGAGACTGGGTCTCCCTAAGTTGCCCAGGTTGGCCCTGAACTGGCAATTCTCCTGCCTCAGCCTCCTAAGTACTGTAGCTGGAATTATAGGTGTGCAGCACTGTGCCCAGGAAAAAGAAATAAATTAAAAAACACGCTTTTTAAAGGCATCATAAACATAGCACAGTTCAGAACTATATCTAAAAAAACCCTAACTTTAACAGTGCAGTGGTCTCCCTGTGGTTTTCACTTTGCTCTGTATTTTCATTTCAGCAGCTTTTAATAACAAAGCATGGGATTCTCTTTACACACTGATTCCTCTTGTGCTAAAATCATTAAGCAAAGTAAATGTCGGATTCAAAACATTAGTTTACTTTTTGTAAATGAACATGTCTATCTGTATAATCACTTAAGAGAAGCAAGCTAAATTCCTCTCTGAATATATCCCTCTTGAAACATCTGATAGCAGCAGCAGAAAAAGAATGGCCTTGCTGGCTTTGGTCAGCAGTCACAGTCACTGACAGAAGTGATTTTGTCCACTAGAGGGAACTCATATTACCATATTGTTCCCTAAACAAACAGAAGCAAAGAGAGAACAAAATAGGAAAGCGAGAGAAACTCCTGTGTATGTGCAAAGTAAGTGTGCAGCGAATGCCAGGAGGGGTAGGGAAGTGAGTAGGCAAATAATAAAATTCAAGCTATACCTGCCTCTATGCCACTTAATAACTATATGAAGGGAAAAAAATCTGATCACTTTTCAAAGCATTCCTTTTCCCTGCACAAAATAAGTAAAAAGGCAATATCCTATTTCAGGTAGTCTCAAAGAGAAAATACCCCATATTTTTATAAAAGATATTAAGATTGCTCTGAATCTTAATAAAAAGTTTATTTCCTTATAGAAAGGGATCATTAGGGGGTTTTTTTTGGTACCAGGGATCGAACTTGGGTCCTTGCACTTGTGCAGCAGGCGGCAAAACCACTAAGCTAAATCTCCAGCCCTAAAGGGACCACTAGGTTTTGTTCACAATGTCTATATTATTATCTGCATCTAGAATTAACTGCCTGCTAAGCACATAACAAAATACAGTAACATTATTGGAAGGTCCAAGTTATTCTTTAAAAGTTCATTAAATCAGTGCTCAGAAGGGCCAGTGGTTCCACTGCCTGCCTCACAAGAACAAGGTCCTGAGTTCGATCCCCAGTACCAAAACCCAAAAAAAAACCAAAAAAAAAAAAAAAAATCATTGCTAGGAAGAACCAGAGGAAAAGTTCTTATAGCAGCTGTGAAGCGTGAAGCAGAATCTCTCAGCCATTAATTATCAAGTGGCTCTCGAAATTAGGACAAGTAAGTCTCTTTATTTTCATTTTTTGGTCTTTTGAGACAGGGTCTCACTTTGCAGCTCAGGCAGGCCTCTAACTCTTGATCCTCCTTACTCAGCCCAGTCCAGTGCTACTATTACAGGCATGCACTGCTACACCCAGTTTCTTTATTTTCAAAGCAGTCTTGTAATTCATTGTAGAAATTTTAGGAAATGTAAGTAAGCTCAGAGAGGAAACATTTTAAATCACCTTTAACCTCCCTATGCAGGTTTGTGTGTATCCTTCTTTTCTTTTAAATGCATAAGATAATCTATATTTTTAATCTATCAAAGTTGAATTTTTTTTGAAGCAAAACCTTTATCGGTACATTTTAGATATACATAATGATAACACTCATCATAGGGAATTTGTACCTGTACAAGATATATCTTGCTTCTTCTTTTTATCCCATTTCCCTCCCCTCCCTTCAACCCCTCTTCCCCTTTAAAAGTTGAATTTTAGGGGCTGGAGATGTGGCTCAGTGGCGGAGCACCTGCCTAGCATTTGCATAGGTTATGGGTTCAATCCCTAACCGCCTCCCCAAAATTTAAAAATTGAATATTTTTATCCATTTTCACTTCACATCTCTTTATATAAATATGTACATTTATATACAAGTTTAAATATATTTTAAAAGTTTTAAATGTATACCTATATTATTTCTTTGTATTTATATACTGTAATTTACTTAAACTTTAAATGGATGTTAAAGCCCCCTAACTGTTGGTATTTAGGTTGTTTCCAGTTGCTCACCGTGAAAACCCCTTTAAAGGGTTCCCCTTTTCCTCTCTGGTGTTACCACAAAAGCAGCTTTGACACGTATTCCTTCAAAAAACCCCAATGATAACGAGTTTGAGGCCAGTGTGGGCTACATAGTGAGTTCAAAGCCAGCCTGAATTAGAGAGCGAGACCTTGTCTTGGCAAACAAACTGAACCCAATGATAAAACACCAACTACACAATCCAGAAAAAACTGAATCGACAGCGACTTGAGTTCCTCCACTTGCAGGAAACTCCCATCACTGTCTCCCAGCTTTAACCTGGTCTATGTCTGCTGTCAGGCATCTGCTCGTCACTCACACAAAACCCTCCCTTTTCTTTCTGCGTCTCTCCCGGGGCGACTTTCCCGTTCTTAGCCTAGTGTACATCCTGAGGGTGTAGGTGTGGGGGAAAAATGCCCCTCAACCCCGAACTGGTATTTCAAAAACACATGGGCCTTTATTTTGACAATTTAATTCCTATTACTGCAGAAACTGTGTCCAACTCTACTTCCAGTGCTGGAAGCAATCCTGATCAAAACAGTGCATGTTTTCTCTCTGCCTCAGAAAGCGGGTGTCACACGAGTTAAGGGCTTAATTCATTATTATCTTCCCCTTCCACATTCATCACAAGACACCCTGCTCAGGAAAGCAAGAATGAGAGGTTATTGTTAAGAGAGAATGAATGAGACAATGTGACTTCTGTTCTTCTGACCTGACAATGTGACTAAGGCAGGGACACTGTGACCAGGGAGGGCTCCAGTGAGCCTCCTCCAGTCACCACAGAGCTGCCACCTTGTGCTGTGAAAAATGAACTTGGCTCAGGGTCCTAGCCCCATATTCCTGGCCCTCAGGAACACCACGGGGAGCAGAGGAACGCAAGCCAAGAGGACAGGCTCACTCTCTGGGTGTCTTGGATTCCACTCCTGGCTGTCCCTTCCTATCCCAGGTATCCCTAAGACTGGAGTCATTATCAGTTTTTTTCTTCCCTAAGATATAAACTGTGATGAGCTTCTGAGAATGAGGTGCCATTCTGTGAGCACCATCTGCACAAGCAGCTCGGGAAGAATCTCAGCTGTTTAGATTTCTAGTCATCAAAAGTTTATGAAAATTCTGAGTCATGACACAGGTACACTAAGACAGTGACCCATCCAGTCCTGTCAAGAGCTACCCCACACCGCAGGCACTGAGGAAGAGGCACTTCCAAAGAGGTGGCCATGGAGGACAAAGGCAATTTTGCTCACTGAATTGGCTATGCTTCCCTACAGCAGCTATGCAAACATATCCTGTACTTCCCAGTGAAATCGTATCTCTCAGAGTTGGTGGTAAAAACTTTTCTCAAAGATCAGAGCCAAGAGCCAAAAGAAAAGGCCACAGAAGGAACCAGAATCCTTTTCTTGGGAGTTCAAAGTCTTATTCTACCCACCACCAACTTACAATAGGCATTTGAAGTGGAGGAGTTTCAGGAAGCTGCTAGAGATCAAGAGAAGAGCAAGGTTTTCTTGGTAGCACTTTTGTTCCCCCGTCACAACAAACAAAAAGGAACCCCAGAGTCAGGATACAGCCCCAGAGAGTACCCCTGATTCCCTACCAGACTCACTCTGTGGCCACTATCTGGGGAATAGGCTCGTCTAGGAGCTCCAAGCTGTGCAGGATCCAGTAGCAGAGCCATGGGCGGCTGGCATCCAGACACTGTGAGAGGGACAGGAAGAAAACACACCCGGTTCAGAGTCATTCCAAGACCTGCTGACAAGGCTGGTTCTGTCTCACTCCCTGCAGCCTGGTAAGGGGAGGAGGGCACCCTCACTTGGTGAATGAGGGGTGCTTTACTTTGTGGCCTTAGCCAGGACTGAAATGATCACCTGTGAGAAAAGGAAAAAGGGATTTAAAAAAGTTTACCTTAGACCCAACAAGTCCCTTTCCAGCAGACATCTAAGGAAGCTGAGCAGAAGACTTCTTACATTTCAGGAAGTTAAGGGCTGCTCTCTTCCTGGTACAGACCCAAGGAATTTATATAATCTCAGAAAGAGAGTTCCTGGATTAACTCATTCTCAGATCCAATAAATATTTGGTAACTACTTGTGCCAAGCACTGTTACAAACGCTGGGGGCAGATAATGAAAAGGAATTTGGTTCTGATTCTGCAGATGTTTGGGGTGTAGAATATGTGTCATCTTAGAAGAAGAGGGCTTTAGATAGTCACAGTAAGAACAAGTTCCTCTGTGTTTTTCGGGAACAAAGCAGAGCACAGCACACAAGTATATGCTCCTGTACAAATCCTGGAAACAGTCTGAGTGAGCATGGAAGAGCTCTCTTCTGCCTGGGGAGCTGGCAGAGGCTTCCAAAGGTGACATGTAGACAGACCTCGATCCTAACTCAAGGCCTACATGGCTACTGAGATTCAGGGCTAGGCTGGCCGGGTAGTAGTAGTGTTCCAGTTATATAATGAGGTCCAGAGAAATTAACTTTTTCCAGATTATAAGAATACTAAATGTCAAAGCCAAGACAAGAATGTAGGTCTTTAGACTTTTAATTCAGTGTTCATTTCATAAACCCAAGCTGCTGACCTCTTCAAAAATGTGCTGACAATCCCAGCTGGGATTAACCGGTCACCCGGGGGCCAGGCTGAAGACACTGCTAAGCATTCGGCCTAAGTTTGAATCACAGTTCTTCTCGCTAGCTATGTGCCTTTGAGCAAATTACCTTATCTATGGCTACTTCCTTCTCTGTAAAAAATAAAGACTGCCGTAACTCATGGTATAACTACAAGACTAGGCAAGAGAATGCCAGGTGAGATTTTACCACACTGTTCAGTAGACTGCTAGCTGCTATGGCATTACCTGTATCAAGCTGATGGGATCTGTTACAGTTTGGGTCTAAAATGCGCCCCCAAAGTTTCCTGTGTTCCAAGGGAGGCCTTTAGGAAAACAATTGGATCATAAGGTCACTAACCTCACCAATGACATGGGATATTAGGAGGTGGGGCCCAGCTGGGGGAAGTGGGTCGCTGGGGGTGAGGGCTCCCTACTTCCTGGCTTCCACAAGATGAGCAGCTCTCCTCTTCCATCCCTTTCTGCCTTGGAGTCAGCCAACCATGGACTAAGACCTGTGAAACCATGAACCAAAAGAAACCTTTTCTCCTTGAAGTTGTGTGTCAGGGATTTAGTCCCAGCAATGGAAAGATGATTAATACAAGACACTAACCAGTGAGGCTGTGACTGGGAGACTGAAAGCTGATAGCCCACAAGCCACATCCAGCCTATGGATGTGTTCTGTTGGTTTATTTAACTGGAATTGGTTTCAACATTTAACTAAGAGGAGAGTCATATAAAATCTGGATTTCTGGCTTTATTTGAGGGAAAAAATGTGGCAACCTTGAGTCTGCATTTGCCAAAGGCTGCACCAGTAGAGATGGGGTAAATACACAAGGTCTCCAGTTAACCTTGACCTCCCCTCAGCCCAATATGCCTAGCTTTACTACGTGCTTGGGCCCTATATGCATTGGAGTTGGCAAATCTGTGCCATAATAATCAAATGTAGAACCTCCAAATAAAAGTAGATTAAAAGTGGGGCTGCTCTGTGTAACATGAGTGAGGAAGACTGGAGCCCTCCTGCTCACCTCCACCCCCTGTGCCTGTCACCCAGGCCCCAAGCCTTCCACCACCACAAGCCCCTGAGCTCCTCTGCAAACCCTAGGGCTCTGGGAAATACACTTTAATCCACGCAAAGTTGGGCTGACAGTGTTAAATGCAAGGGGTGCTCTCCGAGGTTCATGTGCTGGTCTTCTAGCTGGGAGGGAACTAGCTCAGTTTAGAGCAGAGACCTGGGCCTAACTAGGTAACTGACTTAGCTATCAAGGGGTTGGGCCAAAGCGTGTGAAACCCTCAGCTGTGACCACACAGTGGAGGAAAGCCTCACTCCATCGGAGTGCCCCACCAGTTCTAGGAGAAGATGAGACTGGAGTGGCCTGGCTCTGCTCCTGTCAGAAGTGGCGTCCAGGCTGGTGACAGTGTCCTGGTTCCTGTCAGAGCCACATGGTATGTGTGAATCTGCAACAAGTCAGGCCCCAAAGCATTTTCCATTCAAATGGGGGAAAAACAAAAAAGGAAGACTTGGTAAAGAACTTGACAGAAAGAATTTCTGGGCAACGTATTTACCTCGTAGGCATCAGTCAGTTGTCGAAGGCCTCTTTTCAGATAATGGAAGTGCTTCTCCCTCTGCAAAATAAGCCTGGAAAGACAAAGAGCCTATAAGCCTGTCGTGGTAGCTCATGGTTTTTCTTCACATAGGCACACATACACACACACACATATACACATGTGTGCACACACACACATTTCTGAAGTGAGTGAATACTGTGCTGAGACACTGCAATGAGCACACACTGCCAGGTGCGTGATAGTCCCCCAGGAAGTTCCGCCGGCATGCAACTGAGACAGATACCCTTGTGCCTCTCCATCCGTAAGCACTCAGTTAGCCGTTGTCCTTTCAGTCTTTTCCTCTGGAATCGTTCCTCTGAGATCTATACTTGTTAGCTGCCTTCCCCTCAGTTATTCATCTATTATTCCCTCTCGAAATTCCACCTCCCATGTGCTGACCCACAGCCCTGGCCAGAGGATGGTGTTTGTCTTCTGCAGCCAGCCACGTCCTGGGCACTGAGGTCAGCAGTACTGGCTCTGAGATGGAATGTGCCGCCCCTGGCCACCTGCACAGGCAGACAGAGGCGCCACTTCTTGCTTGGTATAGCAAAATGGGCCTGTGTGGTTATGGAAGGAAGAAAAAGGGCAAGAGCGTCCAGACATCCACTGTGCTTGTTGACTACAGAGATGAAAGGGAAGAGAACCATTCCTCGTTCTAGGTAGGCAACTCAAGAATTATTTATAGCATTCCCACTGTCCTGTGCTCGAAACGAGGCCATTAATGCAATCTCCATCTGAGTCTCCCAATTCAGTAATGGAAAAGAGATACATATATAAACAGCTGAAAAACAAGGGAGAAAATAGGCAGGTTTCAGAAAGGTAAAACATAACATACTACTGAGGTTCAAAGAGGAGGAATCTTGTTAAAAACAGAATGATGGGCAAAATTTGTGTGGAAGAGGCAGAATTTGAAGTGGGTGGCCCTGGCAGAGGAGAAAATTTTAATTTTACTTACAGCCTAGGCTGCAGATAGTTGATGGCTAATGTAGTATGCAGCACAGGCATCAAGCATACAAGGCGAGTGACAGAGGGAGGGCTACCTGGCCTCAAAAAGAACTGAGAGAGAAACTGCAGCAAAGGTAGCTGAGGCCCTTTCTACAGGGGCCTGGGAGGCAAGCTGAGGAATTCCTACTCAGTTTAGTAGGCAAAGGGAAGCCCAGAAGGCTTTTGAGCCAAGAGAAAAATGACCAGAGCTGTGCTTCGGAAAAAGAATCTGCTAGCAGGCCCTAGTGAGTGTTTACAAACCAAGCTAAGGGGAAGCACTTTGGTGAGTACAAAGCTACACAGAGCGACCAGGGGCAAGTGCTGAGGCCCAAACTAGCCTGGGCACCCTTAATGAACTCACTGCTGGACGTGTGGATCAAGATACTGAGGGCAGCCGGAAACACACGTGCTGTGTTGGACATGGTCTGTCCCCTCCAACAGCCACACAGGGGTTTGATTCTCAGCATATGGTGTTGAGAGGCAGTGGGCTCTGTGAGCCGTGACTGCATAGATTGTTACAAGGGTTTAATGCCTTTCTCACTGTTGTGGGTTTGTTTTGTTCTCCAGGGAGCGAGTTGTTACAAAGTGAGGCTGCCCCTGTTTGTCTCTTCCCCAGGTGCTGCCTGCCCTTCTGCTTTTCACCCTGAGGTAAAGCAGCATGGGGCCCTCACTGGAAGTGAAGTAGGTGCAGCCACCATGCTCTTGAGCTTCCCAGCCTCCAGAACCAGAAGTCATAGTAAACCTCTTTACTTTGTAAATTTCCCCATCTCAGCATTTTGTGATAACAACAGAAAATGGGCTAAGATAATGTGCAGACTGGGGATGTTTATCTGCACACAGGTGATGTGAGAGCTGCAGAAGATAAGAGAACAGACAGGAAAGACTGAATACAGAACTGTCAGAAGACCTGTCTTTAAGGACTTGGAGGAAGACAAGAAGCCAATGCAGTAACAGGGGAAGACAAAGCAGTGTCATGCCACAGGCAATCAGGGAACACAGATTTTGTGGAGGCATTTAACTGTGGTGGATGCTATTGCTAGACTGAGGAGAAACAAGACAGTGGCTGGCAACCTTGAGAGTGTCAGTGGAGCCAGCACATTGTAAAGGACAGGAGAAGCCAGACTCACTTCCTCTTTCAAAGGGCCAGCCAGTGGCCAGGCTTCCGTAAGCACCCATTCCGAGCAGGTGGAGGGGTGGCGCTGGGCCAGGCTGACTGCTCCACAGAGCCACAGCCCAGCCGTGGATACACGCAAGTACATGGCAAGCAGACTCCGTCCAATAAACGCTGTGGAAGGGTAGTGGGCTGTTCCAGCCTGCAGGAAGGCATGGTGGGTCACAGCAATCTTCCCAAAGAGAACGGGACTGAGGCTAAGGCCAGAGGACACAAGTTAGCCAGGCAAAATGGGGGAAACCATGGCATATGCAAGTCCATTTAGTCCAGAAGCTGGAGCAAAAAGTACAAGGGAGTGAGCAGAGAGAAGCCCGCCTGGAGAGGTACAAAGGTGGTAGATCATGCAGGACTTGTAAGTGCATTGAGCAGCTTGGCTTTACATCTAAGAGCAACTGGGAGTCAGTGAGCTACAGCATGGAGGAGGCTTGAAAACATGCTAAGCAAAAGATGCCAGTCATGAAGTATGTATAATTCTGCGTACACCAAATGTCCATAATGGAAAATCCTTAGAGACAGAAAGTACATTAGTGTAGGTTCCTAGGGTGGGGGGAGATGCAGGAGCTGGTGGACAGGGAGGGAAGTGGGGTTAAAGGGTACAGCTTTTCTTTTGGGATTGAGGAAAATGTTCTGACTTTTAACTGTGATGATGGTTGCACCATTCTGATTACATTAAAAACCAATGAATCGTCATAAATTGCCACAAAAACCCCACCAATGAATCATATGCTTTAAGTGACTGAATATATGAATTATCTCACTGAAAGTATCTTTCAAAAAACACAGGCAAATAACTTTTTGAAGGAGTTACCAAAGTATTGTAGGTAGCAGGAGATGTGAATCTGGCAATAGAAAGAATGTCACATCCTGAGACAGAAACGGTGGGTAAGTAGGAAGCCAGCCAAACCTAGGACTTTGAGGTGGGAAAAGGAGACAGGAAAGTCATGTGAGACTGTGTCCATTGTCTCAGGAATGAGAGGAGCCAAGATCACAGGAGACCTCAGTGGTGACTGCTGTAGGGAATCTACATGACATGAATAAAAGGACTAGAAGGCAACTGGGGATGGCATGGTGGAAGCTATGTAGTCTAAGGATGGCTACATAGTCTAAACCTTTGGCAAAGCCATCAGCAGGCCCTCTTTGGTGAGCTTTTCATCAATAACTTTCCTGGCACTTTTTAGCAGAACCAATGAAAGGGATGTGGTGGGAAGGACTGGCAAGACAGGAAGAGCAGAACAGGGCGTGGTGGTGCACTCCTATAATCCCAGCACTCAGGTGGCTGAGGCAGGAGGATCCCTGCAAGTTTGAAGCCAAACTAGGCTACATACATAGTGAGGTCAAGGCCAGCCTGAACAAAATAGTGAGACCATGTCTCAAAAACAAAGGAAAAAAAGATAGGAAGAACAGGAGGGTTAAGGAGGGAGGGCACAGCGGGAGGTAAACAAGTACTGAAGTAGCTCAGCACATGTGCTGGCCAGGCTGAGCAGCAGCCGCTCCAGCTGAAGTCATTTGAAGGTAAACTTCAACCACAACTGGGGGTACAGAAATTCCTTCTAGTGACTGTTCCCTCAGTGGAAACTTCTCTCATTGTCATTCATTTAATCTCTCTCTGTGTCTGTGTCTCTGTCTCTGTCTCTCTCTCTCTCTCACACACACACACACGCATGCACGCGTGTGTGCTTACATGCACACACGTACATTTTTTTTTTTAATTGAAAGGATATATCTATTGGCCAGGCAGAAACAGTAAGAACCTTACAGTTACAGGCTGAATTTTTCCCCCCAAATCTTATGTTGCAACTTTAACACTCAACATTATTTGGGTCCTTAAAGAGGGTTTTTTGTTTTTAGTATTTTTGAGATGCAGCCTCTCTGTCATTCAGGCTGGCCTTGAACTCAGTCTGGCCTTGAACTTGTGGTGATCCTGCCTCAGCCTCCAGAGTGCAGGCATGCACCATCCAGCCCAGTTTGAAGAGGTATTTAATGTCAAATGAGGACATAAGGGTGGGGCTCTAGCCCCAAAAGACCAGTGTTCTTATAAGAGGAGACGACAGCAGATAAGGGGGGAGGAGGCCATGTGAAGACACAGCAGGAAGGCAGTCGTCTGTGGGCCCCAGGGACAGGCCTAAGAGAATCCAATCCTTGGGGTGGATTTCCAGCATCCAGAACTGTAAGAAAATAAGTTTGCCGGTTTCTGAACACTCCGTCTTTGTTATGGTAGCCCCAGCTGACCAATACCCTTACCATTGCCTTATTTTCAGTTCGCCTGAATCCAAACATCTTTTCTGTGTAGGAAATTAAAGTGAGAACTCTTCACCCTTTCCCTGAACAATTCAGTCTCAAAACCAATTAGGTGGAACAGAACAAGGCAGGCTCTGTGGTGGGTGTGTGTGTGGGTGTGTGTGTGTGTGTGGGTGTGTGTGTATACAAGGAGAGCATGAGTGGATGAAGAGGGGACCTGTGTGACTGTATGGAGGGGATGGAAAATTGGGACACTCAGAGGGATGATCAAATAGGCAACTACATCAAGGACACTGGAAGGCACACAGAGCCGCATGTGCTAGGTGGTGATGTCACTGCCTCTCTACCTGGACCCTTCACAATGGCCCTCACCCTCTTCCCTCCCCCCTCATTTCAAGCCCTCACTGACACCTCCATTAACATGGCCTTTCTCGAGCTCTGTCCCCACACTCTGCCCCTCAGTCTGGAACACACTGACCACCCCTTAAATTAGCAACCCTCCCCACCCTGTGGGTCTCAGTTAAATGTCACTTTCCTTGAGAGGTGGTCCCCGACTCCCAGTCTCTGGTGGATCCTCCCTGCGACCCTCTCTTGTTGGTTGTATTTGTGCTCATCTGGTTAGTACCACCTCCCCCTGC